TATATATATATATATATATATATATATATATATATATATATATATATATATATATATATATATATATAATATGAACAACGAAAAGATCATTGAATAATGGCATTAACCTTACTCTGTCAAATTGAAGGTAAATTTATCATCTTCAACATAATAAATAAAGACATTTAATATATCAAACTACTCTATTAATTCAACTAGCTAGCATGCTTGTTTCTTCAATATTTTTATCATACCATATCCTCGTTGAAAACAAATCACTCATAAACAGTATTTGGAATAAACATTTAGATTAAAATCACATTCAATCACTTCTCTTTCTCTTTCTTGGGCTCATTTATTTTCAAAATCACCACTTTCATTGTTTCCATCATAATGAAATAGGTTATACAAGTGTACATCTTGATTGTCAAACTAGTCTTTCACTTAGATTGATGTCTATCTTAAATTTTGATTGTCAATATTATCGAGAACCAAAAAAATTTCATTGAGAAGAGAATCACCCCACCCCCTATGATGAAATCACTAGAACAACACAGTAGTAGCAACAAGGATGTCAGCTAGAATTTATTAGTATACAAGTTATATGAGTCAAACGTATACCGAAAACATCACTCCTATGGAATTCCACTTACATTCGTCATATCAACAAACGATTTTTCGATATCTGTTTTTTTTTTTTTCATGAATGATAAGCGAAAAAGACATGTTTTGATTTCAGAATGTTGGATGGCGTTTTGATTTCAGAATCTTGGATGGGAGATGTGGAATAAGGGTTTCTACTCAATTATTCTCTTCCCTTGTTGAGTCGTAATCACACCTCACCAACAAAGAATAACAACAGAATAAAAAGGATGTAGAAGAAAATTTCAATTCTATAACCAAGAATCTAAGATCAAGACATATTGATCCTTAAATCTAAGCTCAAAGGTACAACTGGGAAGCTTCGGTCGACGAGTACAAAGAGAGAATTTAATTGAAGAAAAATGTTAGTATCTGATCCCTTTTGCCACTTCAAAAAAGTGCGCAACATTTTCCTCGGGGGTTCCCACTACAATGCCATGACCGAGGTTCAATATATGCTTGCTGCTACCTGCCTTTCTTACTGTATCGTTAATTCGCTCGGTTATAAACTCCGTTGATCCAAAAAGAACACCAGGGTCGACATTTCCCTGGACTGCGATATCGGATCCCAGTCTTCTCCTACCTTCAGCCATGTCTACTGTCCAGTCCAAGCTGACAACATCGACGCCTGTCGATGGAAGTCTCTCGAGCAAGCCTCCTGAACCACTTGCATAAAGAATCAATGGTAGATCAGGGTGCGTCTTCTTCACTGAATCCACAATTTGTTTCAAATAAGGCAAACTAAATTCTTCAAAGTCCACGGGACTTAGTTCGGTTGCCCAAGAATCAAAAATCTGGACAGCTTGTGCCCCATTGTCAGCTTGATACTTGATGTACTCGGCCATAGAATTTGTAAATTTCTGTAACAGTGAATGTAGAACCTACAAAAGAAACATGGTGTCCAATAAGGATCACTAAAATTAAAGACATGCTTATGGAGCTAGCATCTGAAACGAAGAACTAATGGATCAAGAGGTAGATATTCAACATGTTTTCGAGTATCTTTTATAAATAACTAACAAGGTAAAATTATCTCAACTGTTTAGTTTGCAAGCAAATATCCAGCACCTTAAACTCACTTTCCAAATTATTTGATAGATGCAACAACGCTGACAAATTATGTTAGGCTATTATGATCTAACAAAGGACTGGTGAAATTGTTTCTAGTGATCCGATATTTTGCTACCCACATCACATGGCATCATGCCTTTGACGTTAGGCTACTTCAACCTCAATCCCCTCCTTTTCAGGATGGTTTCTTTCTAGTCACATTGATTGACACCACAATGCGTTAGATTGTATCGATTCTACTGCATGGATACTTGGCTTGCTCGTCAATTCTGCCACATCCAGCAGCACTTCCAAGACCTCCAGGTGCTAAAAATCTGCCTCATTAATGTCCTGTTGTCAATTAAGTTGAAGACACTTTTATTTCATGACCTCTATGAAGCCTCCAAATGTTTGACATCCCAACTTCATGTAACTTGACTTTTGTCTAAGACTCCATGTCCTAATTATAGCCTAATGAGCATTCAGGTACAAGGTACTCTTAAAGTTGTTAGCACTTATTTCCTTCAACTTGTTTAGCATTTAAAATAATAATTTCCAAAATGGCAACTGACAGTATTTACTACTTAGTGAGATTCCACATTATCTCTCGATGTTCTGGAAAAGGTTTCCGGTAATGGCTTGCTGAAAGAAGTCAGTCACCTAGCGAAGACCAATCACTTTAAGGAGGATGCAGTTTAAGAATATAATACTTAGGCAAAGAGCTACAAGTTTTCACAACATATCTAGCACTCAACCCCACTAACTTGACAAATTCTGTCTTATGGAATTACTCTTTGTGCTAAGGCATCATCTGGAAATTGAGTCACTTAAGAGCTGATGAAAGCCCATCACTGTCATCATAAATCCAGACAAATAGAGTTCTATAAAATGGATGACTTAAACAACATCCCTGAAAACAAGCTTAAAACCTTGTTTGGAAATGCTCTCAGAATACAGTTTCCAGCCTTACACAACCCAAAGCAAAATATATTGTTTGGTGACAATGCTTTGTTCTCACATCTTAAAAATTGTTCTTAAACATTGAAGCTAGAAAATAAGTGGAGAATAACTTAGGGGGTTTCTCATTTTTAAGAAAGCTTTTTCTCCAACTATATTATATATTAGTATATTATGTGCATAAATACAAAATGATTTAACAGTACCTCATCAAATATGTCGTGGGATATAACATCATCACTAATTCAACATAATAACTTAATAATTTTATAATATAAATACAGTAGCAAAATAAAATTAATATATCATAAAATAAACTATGAAAAATAATAAATTTTATATAACAGTATAATGATATTATCTCCTCTCTAATAATATCCTGTCTCCCATTGTGAAAACAACTATCCAAATAAGACAACTACTTTCAAGAACAATCTTCAGAATAATGTCAAAAAGTGTTTTCTGAGAATATATCCAATAAAACATGTACTTAGATGCACAAAATTCAAACATATTTTCTGCTAATAAAATGTACACCTCAAAAGAAATATAAAATCAACATGTCAGAAGCTTCTTCTGGTTTATAATGCATAAGAATACCACTATTTCCATGGACAGGCTGCATATCAACCTATTGAAAAGCGATTGACTATTAAAGTAGTACTAATCTAATTAAATTGACGAAAAGACTTCTCTCGTTGTTTGCTTCAAATTATATCACTTGATTGTAGATACCTGTGGTTGAGAAAAAGCCAGCCTCTTTATCTTCGTGAAATGCTTAGATGAACCACCTTCAACGACATAAGATGCCAGGGTGAATGGAGCTCCAACAAAGCCCAGAACAGCTGCATCACTTTTAACCTGCAAAAGCAACAAAACATTTGATAATGCAAAATGCTAAAGTATTAACAGTTTACGAGCATGGACTGATGACACCATGAAGAAAATTATAAAAGATAGCAAACTGACCTCTTCCCGGAGTATTGTCAATGCTTCACCAACATATGGAACCGACTCCTCAGGAACAAACTCTCTGACTTGAGCTACATCATCAGCTGTTCTAATAGGACTGTATATTACTGGACCTTTTCCTTTAACAATGTCAAATGGTATATTCATCCCAGGAAGTGGGGTAAGGATATCTGAAAACAATATAACCTGCCAGAAAACAAATGCAATAACTGAAATTAGAAAGAACTAAACAAGTACATGGAAATGTTATTTTACCCCATCATGCATTCAGTAAAGAAAAGCCAGTTACAAATTTGTAATGGTTAAATGACAAAAGAATTATTATAACTGCATTGTTCAAACAAGCTCTTATCCTATTTCATAAGTAACATAAAGCCTCCAACTTTGGCCTAAAATACGCAATTAATTTTACCATTTAATGACCATGGCTCACCTTAGCATATACACCATGGTTGCATAAATGTACAACAAATATATTAGGCAAGTAGAACAGAAAAATCAGAACCCACAGAGCAAATAAATTAAGGATTTCACTACAGATTTCAACCAGCAGTCATAAGACAGATCTAATATGGTCTTACAAATAGAAGGGCAGAAAGGAAAGATAAAGTTTTCCACATAAAGTCTCTTACCCCATCAGGCCTGAAAACCTTCCAAGGTTGCAGAGAGATTTCAACCACAAGATCAACGTTTTCTGATCTTTCACGAAAAGAAGGATATTTTTCACAGAGCAGCTGATAACTCTGTTTGGAAAAGAAAAGGTAAAGAAATAAGTAATATTGCAAACACTCTCAATTTATAGTCATGATACTTCAATATGATCTGCATGAACAGCAATTAATTTGATATAAGTAATCAATTTTGGTGCATTACTGGTGACAGGAAAGTATTAAGGGCAGCACATCAAGAAGATTAAAAAATACATTAAGTTTATGAAGTAAGTTAACAGTTGCAATTGAATCCTTATAATACATTATTATCAATGAAAGAGGAAGAAAGTCTTAACATTTTATTTAAAATGGTCCGCAATATTAAATATTCTCACTGAAACAAACTAATAGGCAAGGCTAGAATTTAAACATCAGGATGTTTATTTGAATGTTTTGCCACATCCAACAAAGATTGTATAAGTACGTCATTGCACATTAAATATGTAGACAAACACCTTCATATATATTGAATTCATGTTAGACACACCTGAACAGCTATGACATGATCTCGAGTCTATAATAGATGCTAAACTAGTTTAAGTAAATATAACTTATGCCACAGATATCCATTTTCAGTTACACATTATACTAATTAAGCGAACCTCAAGATAACAAGTTGCAAAGCATAAATGTAAGCTTTCTGCACAATCAAGTTCTTGGTCAATCTCATGCACCGACTATATCCTTGAAATGAACCAGTGTTTTTAAAAGTGTTAGGCGCCAAGGTCCCAAAACGCTCAAGGTACTAGGCACTCGCCAAGGTGCCCGCCCAAGCTACATAATATTAAAATTAAAGAAATATATATTATGATAGATTAATATGATCATAAAAATAAAATGATACAATATGGTTTCGACTAATAGAGACTTATGTTAAACAAGTTTCTAACCAGTGCTAAATAGTTCTAAAGAGTAGACCAATATGGTGCCAAACAGTTCTAAAGAGTGGATCAATATGGTGGTGAACGGTTCTAACCAATGTTAACTAGTTCTAAAGAGGGAACTGAGAAGAGGAGTAACCGATGGCTATAGATGAAGGTGAGGGAAGGAGAGGATAGCGAACAAAGCTATGTACGAAGACGGTGGTGGTGGACAAAGCTACAGACGAAGGCACCGGCGACGAACAAAGGTAGAGGAGGTGGATGAAGCTATGAACCAAGGCGACAGAGGAAGCTGCAGGGATGGACAAAGGCGATAGCGGCGGACATAGGGTTTCACTTCGGGTTTGTCCCATTGAGTCGGGTCCCAACCCAACTTCACTTGGGCACTCGCCCAAGGTGCCCGACGTCTAGCTCAAGCGAGCGCTTCATCGAAACGTCTTGCCCAGAGGTTTTGCGAGGTGCTCGGGCCTTGCCTTGCCCGAGCGCGTAGGTGGGTGCCCGAGCACCTTTTGAAAACACTAAAATGAACTCGAATGAGCAATTAATTACCAAACTAACTGCAAGTTTAACGAGTCATTCTATGATGTCTCACCCAACAAAGACCTAGAGGAGACTATATCATAGCAGACGATATTGACTCATGATTCCATATAAGTTTTAAAAAAAGTGTGCAGCATGGTTGAGGCCATACCCAATCAGAAAATGATATTCAAATGCATGTCATGTAGTTGCCGTATCAATTAATTCATAACAGGTGAATAAATTAATGAAACATCTCACAATCTAGACTATCTATATGCTAGCATCTTAGTTGTAGCAACATCCTACCATTGTTCGACAAAAAAAGAAAAGCATATTGACATTTGGTACAGCCACTGAATAGTAATTCAAGAACCTGTAAATACTAAACTTTCTGCTGCATTTTGATTCCATAATTTGTGTATCAAAATTTATTTGTATTGAATATTTGTAAGTGTACATGAAATTAAACCGTGATATCTAAAGTTTGAGATGTACAAATAAATTCAATGGCTTTGAGAGAACTAAACACAAGCTCTGCAGGCCACAGCTGGAAACAAAGAATGCATTAGACCTGCCTTCATGTACCTCCCGGCTTGCCTCATAAGCCAAACTGGGGGTCTTTCAACTTTTTCACCACGAACAGCATTCAATAGGAGTGGTTCAGTTACACTAGCAACTTTTGGTGCTTCTATATACTCTGAAACATAGAATAAAAACTGAAAAGTTAAAACCTGAAAGACAAAGAAGCAACAATATAAATTTAGATCAGCATATTATCTTGGATCTTTTTGTTCAATCCTTTTGCAACTAGAATTTTGAATTCTAAAGGATCACATTTTATTGTCAATTTACTGCGACGAGGTACAACCAGATGCTTAGATTCGATCCCTGACTCAATGGACGAGTTAGTTGCCACTATTTGTCATAATATATATAATCCTCATGGATAGCCATCTAACTGTCGTGAGCACCATCACTGACTCTCTATTTAATCTCACCATGTTTTCTCTTTTGACATCCTTCTGCTAGCTGCTAACTGCTAACAGCATCGTGTCAACGGATGTCTAGCCATCTGTACAATTCCTCTGCCTCTTTAACATTGCCGAGATCTACAATACGCTTGATAATACATTCAATTCGCAGATGCTGAATTCTTAGAAAAAGAAAACAAATCCCAACATCAACAAAATAATTGTTTGAAGAATTGACATTGACAAATACATATGAATCTACTAGGTACCAGCAATATTGGCATGGGATTACCACCAAGGCAAAAAACCCCAACATTTCAAGTCCTTTTAATCCCTATAGTCTTCTCGATTTCTAGGGGTCATCAAGATGAGAATCTAAAAAACTTCCTTTTTTTTCCAGAAAAACTATCGCCAATAACAATACGACAAAGGAATTTGAAGCCCTAGCTCAACTGGTTGACTGAGCTCGTACAAATTAACGTAAAAAGGAAGACAGAAAAAAGATGGAATTAAGGAAGAACGAGCAATTTGGTACCTCCGACGGTGCATCGGATCGCGAAGGGCTTCGATTTGGACCGAGAACTAATGGCCGAATTCCGAGCAACAGAGGCTGGCGAGTAAAGGGAAATCGGGCAACTAATGCACGACATCTTCCGGAGACTAAAATTACCCAAACACAAGATTCAAGTCTCTTCTCTAGAAGATTTGGTAGCCGCTGCTCTCCCCCGCGCTCGCATTTACCTCTTCGCCTGCAACAAAAATTGGCCGACGAGAGAGAGGATAAATAGAGGACATTAACGACCAAATAAATTATATTCATTAAATACCTAAAATACCCTTCCATGCGGCGGCGGGAAAGCATTAACGAGCTCGCATAGGATCGGAAATCTTCGTCTTAAATGAGGGTATTATAGGTAATTTGTTATCGCTCTATCTAGCTCGTCCTCCCAACGACCAATTAGATTCGAGAGAATAGTGTTGCGGATAACGCTGTCCACTAACAACCTTTGACAAATATTTTCCTTTTAATTTTAATGCAAAATTCTCCAAATGTTGTTATCACCCCTTTTCTTCTTGGAAGTAAAACATAATTCTCTCCATTTACTTCACCAATTTGTCTACTTTTTGTTCACTCCACAGTCAAATTGATTCAGGATTAATCAAGAATTTATAGATCACTTTATTTATTTTTTAATCAATATCATCACATGAGACATGACTTTCATTTATTTTTTTGATTTATATTAATTTGGGTGTGGCAGAGATAAATTTTGAATTTAGGACCTTTGGCTTTGTGTTACTATTTTTTTTTCAAGATTAATATTTGTTTTTTGTTTGATTAAATCTCATTGTAAATTCTGGAGATGGAAATATTTGTGTTGAGCATTGAGCTGATGATAGAAAAGTTTATTTGTCTGCAGCAGCTTAAACTTGCATTCATAGATTCAGGCCTGTGATCTGTTCCATGTAAATTATAATTGTTGTCATATAGATTAATTTCGGGTGCATTATTCATCTGGAAAAAAAACAAAAGAGAGTAGAATTTGCATCAGAATTATCAACCAAGTTATATAGATCCATTGAGCTTGAATCAAGGCACAGAAAAAGCTACCAGCAGATGCAGTCTCAGTAATGCCCCAAACTCCATGAACTATCGAAAGATCATATATGATTCATGTGCACAAAAAAGAAGTAGATCTAATTCTGTGATAAAAGTTCAAAACTTTTAGCAGATTTTGAGGAACAAATACTTGTTTTTCGAAGAAACAGTTGAAGAACAGATCATCTCTTACAGTATGTTATGAGGCTACAAGATTGCTGAAGAACATGTGCAAGTGATGATAGAGGATGAGTACAACCTGTGAATGCTTCTTCTCTTAAATCAAACTGTTACTGACTAGAATCAATCTTTACATGATTAAGAGAGAGATAGAGAAACAGCTTGGAAGATGGAAAAAGAAGCAAAAACATGATTTCGGCAGTCTGAAAAGTAATTAATCTTTCACAATAGCCAAATGAGTTGCCTTTCAAAGTGGGAACACAGTCTTGATACTTGGTTTCCTTTCTAAAACAACAGTCGTTTGGGTCTTCCAACTCATGTTCTTCAACATCCCTGTCATGGATTGGAAATCAAATACAAAAGCAACTCTTGAAAGCCAAGTAAGTCTTTAAGATGCAGACCAAATTGCACAAGTCGTTCACTCACTACCTTCGATGAGATATAAATATTTTTGTTGACAATAACAACTTGCACCTCTAATGCAAATTTTAAATGCTACACAGCCAACATATTAGTCTTCCTCAAAACATGCATGCTTCCTCTCCTAACATGGAGTTTGACCAATCACACGGTCTATGGAAAGGCAGCAGTAGTGATCTATCATCTATGACCAAATCCAACTCTCAAATCTAGCTTGATGAATAATGTCCCCCTTCACATAGTAGTGATCCACGATGTAGTGTACTTTCAATTAGTCATGTAGCCATGGTCATGGGCTTGTAACTCGTCAAACTGGCTGGCTGCTTAACGCAACAAGTCAACAACTATTGCCACCCCAAGAATTAGTCTTCACTCGTCAAGAGGCTGCTTAACGCAAGTCGACCTTTGACTCTTTGCATTCCCACAAAGAGTCAATATTTGGCTGGTGTGCTGCTTTCTCTTAGGTTGACCTACCCACTCCACTCCATCAATATTTGGATATTATAGTTGTACCCATTTGCAAGTGCAAATCTAACACTCAATTTCTTGGAGTTTTTGACCGTCATCACCACCCCTATAATACTTATATACTTGGAGTGTTAAATGTTGTTTGTCGAGCTCTACGCCCTCCTAATTTTGATGTTTGAAAATTATGAAATTACATAAATCAAGTTCAAAATCAATCAAGATTCATCTCCAAATCTATCTTATGTTAAGCTGTTAGAAAGCTAAAAGATTCGATCCGTAGGAGACCTTATAAAAACTGAATCATGATATACCCAACAACAAAATCCTTTTGATAATTAAACTAATAAAAAATCACAGGATTTAAAATATGTATTCGGCTTAAGGGTTCTCGAGATAAGTAGTGAGTAGTCACGTACGTATACGATCGCCAAACTATATTATATTTATGTTGTATATGCATTATTAATACATGCGTCAATGCGTTCCCATGAACCTACTACTACTACTACATCTGACTCTAAATCACCACACGACTTTGAACTTTCTCCATCATTCGTTGAACTCTTTGCACATCTTTCAGTTGACTCTGCATGCATCCAATACATACATACGTACCGCACTATCAATTCAACGCGGAAGTCAAAACGAAGACACATTCCACGTATCTTTATGAATCCATCAACCATGGGCTGCCTCGGTGCTCGATATAACCAGCGCACGGCTCTTCCTCTCTTCTCTCTCATACCCAAGCTTTCTCTTCCTTCCTTCACAGACTTACCGCCGCCTCCTCCTCCTCCGGCATGGCTGTCAACACAAAACCTGTCATGCTTCTTTCCGTCCTCCTCCTCCTCCTCTCCATCCACCAGTCTGCTGCGGCGCGGGGTCTTAAGTTCGGGACTTCGAAGGAAAGCTCCGTCGTTAGGTCGATGGAGACGACGGCGACCGTCTCTGTCCCGAGGACAACGCAGAAGATGGTCTTCGTCATGCTTCCAAGAGGACCTACGCCGCCATCCGGTCCGAGCGATGGCATCAACGGCAACAAGAATTAAGTGGAAGAAGAACAAATATACGTATTCTTTTGTTTGATCGGCATTTCCTGATGCGGTTTTCATACATACAGATGCATAATTCAGAGATGTAGACGTCAGAAGACGAGAGATCGATAGGTTTTCTGTTTGATTTTGATGTGTGTACTTGATGCTTTGGGATATAAACATGTACATACTCGTGCTAATTTCTTTCCGGTAAATGGATTGGAATACATCTTTATATGCATCAAATGCTATTAAATACATGGATTTTGGTGTTCCTTCTGCCTATTTGTTTGGATAGGCAGAGAATACTTTTGACTGTGTGGTATTTTGGTATCATGGAAGTCAACAAAGTCAACCCGTCACCTGTCTGGAGTGGCCAAGTCAAACTCATTAATCCGTAGAATCTTTGATGTGGTGGACTCGAATAAGATTTGAACTGAAGAATTGATATTTATATGATTCCTTATAGCCAAAAAATGAATTAATCCATTGGATTAATTCTTAGATTTCTTTGCAAAAGGAAGATCATACGTAGAGCATTCCACAGAGAACGACCGAATTTGGCATGAGGGCTTCCTTTCACACATGACGCGACGTCGGGGTCGCTTCTCTCGGGTTGGCTGGCTGCGAAGATCTCGTCCTCTGCCCTCGTTTCACCGATGGGGAGGCGTAAGTCGCTCCATTTCTGCATCATTATCGTAGTCTTAGATCGCCGTTCTCTTGTTCGATCGATGTGATAATATCTTTGTGATTGGTTGGATTTGATCTAAGATATTTCTGTTCCGAATCTGGTTGGATTTGATGAGGCTTGATTGGCGTAAAGATATCTTTTTCAGCCTGCTTAGAGTGAGATCGGATGTATCTGGATGATTCTTCGCTTTGCACTCGGTGGATTCGTATAGGTCAAAGTTTGCGTTGGTTGATTGGGGTTGTTCCAGTTTGTACTTTGCTTTCCTTGTGCAAATTGTTCTTTTTCTCATCTACATGTTATGGATATGTATGCGATTGTGATAACTCAAAAATAAGTCGAAATTGAAATTAGTGTTTTTGATTAAATAGTGGCATATGCTATTTGGTGTTTTGGGGGGTTGGAATAAGTCGTGATTGACAAACCCAGTCGAGTAATGTTGCCTCCTCTTTTTTTACTTTTTTTGATCGACCACATGTGTTTCATGTCATTCTTTGCTGAAATAATGAGGAGAAGATCAGACACTTAGCCTTCTTATGTTGTGATTTATGTTGTTTTTGGCTGTCGAGTAGATACTTTGGGGGTATGAAAGGTAGCGTGGAGGCAGATCACCTAACTCTTTTTTAATGAACCGGCTTGCAGAAGAAGTCCCTGTTACAGAGATCAAGAACCTCAACCGGCTATGATGAAGAGAAGAGAAGGCTTATAATCACCACTTGGCTGGGCGACCCACAACTAGATTTGCTTATGTACATACATACATGCATTAGCAAAATAAAAGAAATTTACAGGACATTGCAGTTGGAATTAATAATATTCTTGTTCATAAGGTTGATGATGACCAACAACATATCACTCTTAGTCTGAGGTTGGTAGCTCCTACTCAACTTTCCTTGGGCTCTTACCAAAGGAAATGAGACAGCTTATATGGCCAAGGCCCTTGCATGCAGTCAAATGCTAACCATTACTGAGTGGACAAACATGCTCCTCCAACATGAGATACTTTATCACAGCCCTGTCACTGTTGATTTTTCATCTAATATGTGTTAGGGTCTACTTAAACCCATTTTAGGGAGCAGGGTGCTTTCAGCCAGTCCTGAATTCAAAGTCTTGTTTGTGATAAGTGTCCTGGGATAGCTAACTTGTCAAATGAAATGCTATATAATTCTCTTCAGATGGAATTTCTCGTTGGTTATAGACCATTATTCTAATTCTTTGGCTCTGCACATAATAAGTGCATTTTCTGAGAAAGGCAAATGCAATGGACTTTTGTATCTGGACAAAGAATTTTCGATCGTAGAGCATGGTTATCTTATGATCATACTTCTTCTGCTTATTTTCTGATTTTATTTAGAAATCCATTTATGCATTTTT